AAAGGAGAGGAGTTAGGCAGGCGGCTTGGAAAACAGGGAAGCCGGGCTCCAGGAAAACGTGCGAGGCGAGACGCGCCCCGGTGCGGAGCCGAGAGGCGTTCGCTGCAGGCTGTCGTGCCCCAGGCAGCAAGCTGGAGAACCCTGAAGCGAAGTAATAGGGCGGTGCAGAATAGTCAGAACAGGGTTTCTGGGAAGCTGTAGACAGTTTTTCTTTAGTAGCAAACGGTAAGTATAGCAGGACAAATGTTTTCTAGACTTCGTTTATATCTGTGTCCAAAAGTCATTATGGAGAATGAAAAGACCCAAACGGGATTTGTGTCTGGCTTAATTTCAAACACATCTGATGTAGGGCAGTGCTAGCTAAACTATCTTCGAGCAAAAGGACATAACAAACATCATTTTCTGTATGACGATCAGAAACGGTTTTGGTGTTACTTCATTATTTTACAATGTCGTATTTTTATTTTCATCATCATTGCTGCTATGTTCGTGCAGTTGATGATTAAGGGTACTCAGCAGCATTACAAAAATAATCGTCAGTGACTCAAGATAACAATGGCCATAGGTGGCAGTAAGTGGAATTTCTCCAAGTTTGAGTTTCTCCTCAAGTTTCTCTTGAGGGGGCAGGGAAGGGAGAGACCAGTGACTAAACTGAGAGTTTAAACCTCCTGCATTTAAAAAGGTCTAGTATTTGATTTGATTTTATTCTTTTCTTGTTATACTTTCTTTCCCTCTTCCATTTTCCACCTCCATTTTTTCTTAAAACATTGTCAAAGGGAAAAGCAGGTGGTTTTTATTCCATTAGATGGCTGTTTACAGCCCTGATCCAACAAGTTATTTAGATGCATGTCAAACTTTTATCCCATGATGGGTCCCTGCAATTGCAAAGAGCTTCTGTTGCTTCCAGTAGGAGAGTTCACATGGGCTGAATTAGGTACTGGCATACAGGCCATGATCAGACACATCCAAACAGCTTCTGCCAATCCCTGGCTGTTTGATCCACTGCAGGAGAGTGAGAACTACTCTGCTGTATCCTATGGAAGTGCTACCCATTTTTGTATGTGAGGCAAGCCATGGAAAGAAGTACGGGATGCCATGGGGTCAGGTCAGATATGGACCAGTTCCTCTCCTGAACAAAGTGAACCACATCATGCTGTCAAAAATCTACATGCATTACAAATTTAACTCCAGTCTTTCCGCATTTAACAATGTCTCCGTAGTACCCTGCAGTCAAGAAACTGGTTTTATTTCTAACAGACTGGCTGCAGCTTCATCTTTGAGATTAGAGTGATTTTGAAGGATCATAAAGTAACCAACTTGTTAGATAACAGCTGATGCATAATCCTATGAATTTATGACAAAAGTGTAATTTGCTGTGCTGCACATGTAATTTATTACTTCTGCAAGCACTACTGTAATAGATATCTTAGGTATTACTTGCTGATGATTGTTCTTTGTCTTTGGAGAAATAAACGCAAAAGTTCACCTTCATATCATTCCTTTCCAGACTCCATTGAACCTGAGGATATGTCTTTGGAAAACACTGAAGTGACCCAAGATCAGCTGCTGAACTATCACTTGATGTTTCCCATAGGCCAGGACAAATCCATTCCCTGGAATGCAATCACTGCATATGAAAACATGAAAGCAAAGCGAGTATCTGAGCTCCAGAAATGGAAAGAGCAGGTGGGGGTTTTTTTTGCAAACTTTTCAGAGGCTATTTCAGTAAATGCCATTGATCCAGAATATAAAATAAAAATGTGTGTTAAATTACAACAGTAACCCTAGGATGGCAGTATTTTGGGTAGCCTTACATACAGCTATTGATGAAACACCCGTGCAAACCAAAATATGTTTCATTCTGATCACAAGGAAACACTATTAAGTAGATGCATGTAAAAAGAGAGAAAGTTTAGCAATTAAAGTAGTCTTTTACCTCCGAAGCTGCAAAATCACAGTGGGGAACGGGGGGTGTGCGGCGCATTTGTAAGCAGGTCCATGTTCCACTTGAGGGCACCAGAGAACCACAGTTAGACCAGTCCTAGGCAGCCAAGACACCCATGGCAAGGAGCTAAACTGGAATAAGGCACCACTGAAGGCCACTTTCATAGTGGTTACAGACGGGGAAAAAGAAAAAAAAAAAGCAAGCGCAAAATCCTACTAACCACCACTCTGCTCTATGAAGCCTCATTCCACACCCAGAAAGGGACTTGATCGCTGATTTAGTTTGAACTATTATACATAAGTGCTTTTAGCCCCAGTTCTGGGTTTTAGGCTTCTGCTTTTCTAACCCAGAGCCACAGATAAGCCTGCCGACTTGAATAAGACTGCTTATGTGGGTGGCTGACACAGGGAAGTCTTGCAAAAGCAAATGGTATGATTGTTTTCACTCTAAAGTAAAAATATTTGTTCAGACACTTCACCCCTTTCACTCATTTAAACACATTAGGTACCATTAATGTGTGGCAACTGTGACTTTGAAAAAGGGAGCAAGTAAATTGTGAAAATAGTGAACACTGCAAACATTTCTTCCTCTCCACTTCTAAGCACTTTGGGTTTGGGTCTCAGAGCCACAGGGGTGCTGTCTACTCTGCTTCGGCGACACCTCTGTCCTGTACAAAAGATAACAAACATTCAGATGTTTGTTCTTGCACCATCTCTATATGTCTTGCACCTATTCTTCATACATCAACAGAGCACAGGGCCATAGCAACCAAGAAAACGTGGCTAGTCTCACGTACACCAGTCTCCTAACGTGCACCTCCCCATAACAGGAGAGATTGTACCCTCTGAGCAGTAATGTGTTTACTTAGTACAGGTTAAATTTCCTTGTGTGGCAATTTCAGGACTTAAATCCTTGTGTTTCTGAGAAAATACCTCAAAGAATAAAAACAAAGGCCTAAATGTAACACCAGATTTTTCTGGCTGTGCTCCTACTGAAACAAGCAAAAACTATATGCAAAGCAGCCTGGTACAGATTATATGACTAATAAGTATTTCCAGCTTTTTGCTAGTTTTATACTGATCACTTTTTGCTTAGATGATTTCTCTGTGATTTTGGTATTGACAACTTTTGCATGGTATTCCTGCAGGGACCTTGTCAGAAGGAGCTCTACAGAGCCCTGTATAAATTGGCAAAGGCTCAGCAGAGTGACGGAGGGGAGATTTACAAATTCTACTTGCCCAACTGCAACAAGAATGGATTTTACCACAGCAAACAGGTACGTGCCTTTTCCCCTGTCTGCCCACAGCAGCACTGCCACTAGCCTGACACAGCCAACCCTTTCATGGCCCTCTGCGCCCAAACTCACCAGTTTGCAGCTGCTGGAAAAGCAGGTTGTGAAAACAGGGATACTTAGTAGTGGGAGCAGATGGTTTGTCCTTCTTCTCTTAAAAGTGAGCTGCATGCTGTGGGCTGACAGCAATGGAAGCAGGAGGCTTTTCATTCACAGAACAGGTGCACACAAGGCCTTCTACAAAATCTTTTAACCCTGTCTGCTCTGAAGCCAAATCAGGCTCTATGTACTTGAATTGTTAGCATATTCCAGTTGAGATTAGTTCATAATAACCACCATACTGCCTGCAAAGCCCTTTGAATATATAATAATCGCTATGGAGAAAGGAGGCTCACAGCTCCCAGGCAATGAAAGACTCACAGAGGCAATGAAAAAGCTCTATGGAGTAAAATTAGGCTTCTGAATTTGAATACTGATTTGTGCTGCGTATGGATTATGTTATATGCTCGTTGCCATTATAGCCTCAGAAAAAGCCATCACAAGTTAACACTGAGAGTAATCTGCAAACCTAACTAAAGCTCCAAACCTCAAGCCACACCCTTGTAACCACAGGTCATGCACACAAATTTAGTAGGTCTGCATAAATCTGTGTCACCAAGACTCCTTGTTTTTGGGCATGGCACCACAGTGTGACTCACAAACATTGTGACCTGGGATCTAATCAGGCACAATCAGAAATCCATGTAACCCTTTCCCCGAGAAAAAAACCACAACAAAAGTACACCCTATTTGCCTCCTTGCGTGAAAAGCCAGACCATACAGTCATTGCTCTCGCCTTACCAGCTCATATATTCTGCCTTCCTTCGATTTCTCACACTGGGAGATATTGCTGGTTCATACTGCTGTTTACCAAGGAGTGGGGAAACTGTTTTAAATCTGATATTGCTCTTGTGGTAGCTGAGCTTGGGTCATGGCTCTCTAAGCCATGTGTATTGGTCAGATGGTCTGTCAGAGCAGGGACCACTGCATTCAAAACAAATCTGTGCATGGCAGGCACCTACCTTCTGATCCTAGTTCTGTCCAACAATTTTATTTGCAATATGTCACCAGTTACTTATTGTGGCTTTTGTCTTGATAATAATATTCTAGTGTGAAACATTACTGGATGGAGAGTCTGCTGGATGCTGGTGTGTCTATCCAAAAAATGGAAGAAGAATTCCTGGATCTCCAGTAATGAAAGGAGACCCCGAATGCCAACACTATCTCAACTCACAAGAACAAAACTAAACACATTCATTCACACCAAGCTGTCTGTGAGGCCTGATCTAGTCAGGAGACATTTCAGTCAGGAGCCTTCCAGCAAGGTAGTTCTGTACACCTGATTTTCAGCATATGAGTAACTCCACGAAGTACCTTTTTTACTGTAATGGGATTACTCAGGTGCTTGAATGACGAATATGAGCAACTGCAAGATCAAGTCCTACAATCTTGTATATTTTGTTTGTATAATACTATGGATACCCTCATATGTAAAGACGTTGAATTATTTATTTCACAGTACATGTATTTTTGTCTGTGTGTGTTGTGACTAACTTATATCCTCAAACACTTCATAACTTTATATGTAAATACTTAATATTATTGCTCTTAAATGTATGCATCTTATGTTGGAGGAATGTTGCTACTTAAAAACTTCCTATGGCATACTATTGGGAAAAATGGCTTGTAAACTTGCATTTTTGTACTGTCTGTTTATAGATATAAAACTGAATTTTAAAAAATAGCTTTCAGTAGAGAACACACTTAGAAACTTATTTAAAACCTTTTTTTGTTTATATATCATGTTTCTTTTGCACCTCTGTTTCAATATCAAGCTGTTTCTCAAAAAAAAAAAGAGAACGTCTAAGCCTTGGTTATATACTAAAGCTCCTGATGGGACAGTATTTGTTTCTATTTTCTGAACATATGTACTGGATAAAAGGCAAAATGCAACATGATCTTCTGTGCCACCTTTGACAGGTGTAAGTTTTTCACGTTGATGTTTTCATGTTATTTAAGATGAGCTATTAAATAATGTCTTCTACGCTGTCCCTGTCTCATGCTTTCTGCATGTTCCTGTTCAGCAGTCTGATCTCAGTAGGACAGCGCAGCGGCAGGTGGGAACATTGAGGAAAACATGCATCTTGCAAATTTGCCTTCTGACTCCCTAGCTCCATTGTCCTGCCATGGGTTTTCTTGTTTTGCTCTCCCTGCTCTGTGCTCCTCTTCTCCTGTGTTCCCCTTTTCTGGTTCTCCTAAATCCTGGCTGTGTTCTTCAAGCCTCTGCCTTGGGCAAAACAGGAGCCTCCAAGAGAAGTTATTAAAAGATTTTCTGCGTCGAAAAGCTGGATGCCTTTCTGCACTCAAAAGCCCAAGGCAGCAGTATTAATGCATTTAAAAGATAACGTCAAAACTAGAAAGAGTCATTTCCTGCATGAAAGCCAGAGGTTTTAAAAGGGAGGCTAGGGAAAAGCCCAGCCTTTATCTTTTTGTTGAGTCAAGAAAGTCCACTTGGCTAGGGATGTGGTCCCTCTCCCTCCCTCACATGTTCCTTCAACTTAGTGGTTGCAAAGAAAAAGAGAGAAAGCAACTAACTGCCTTGCTGGCTCCCAGCTGGTTTTGTCCATGGAGAAATTGGTGTGGGAGTTAGCAAGTCCCAGAGGTGGAAACAGGCTGCACCAACCCTGCTGGGTAAAACAGCCTGAGAGGAGAGTAATAACATTTTCTAAGAGCCTGGCAAGAGGGAAATTCAGCTTAAAGTCCTCCTGCCATTTGTTGGCGCAAGCTTTGGGTTTTAAATGGGAGGAGGGAGCGGCTTGTAGAAACTGCAAAGCCAAAGCAGTATGGAGAGCTCTGCTCTCTGTATCATGATTCTATGGGATTGCACACTAGGCCTGCCAAATGTGGTGGCTGCCTTTGCGCATTGGTGTCAACTGCTCCTATTGGTGTCTAATAAGTTGCTTCAAATATGAATCTATGGATATACTACTGGGCTGCTTTGTAAACTGTTTTGAGATCTTCCCAAAGAAAGAAAAAGCAGTTGATATTATCAATATTTAACATCTATACTCCCAGTAACGAGCTACAGTGAGACTTGGCTAAAACTGTGTTACCACATTCACTGTGTCAAAATGCTCAGCAATCATTTTATATAAAAATAATGAAGAAGCAATGAAATTTGGTCAGAAACTTAGAGTCCTTTCATGAAGTCTATCCAGCACTGAACAACTGTCATGTGGCATTGCCAAGGGAAAACAGTGAAGGAAGGAAGGGAAATCATATACTCACAGTTACAGCATGTGCTTAAGAGCACCCTGGCTACTCTCACTTTTGTTGACCTCATGTAAAGGTTGATCTCTAAAGAGCAGAAATTGATTCTTTGGTTGGGATCATTACATATGTATCTGGGAGAAATGTTCATCACATTAATAATTATTAATAGCAGTTTTTTGCCATATAGCAACACAATGGACAGATATATCCAGTGTTTTCCAGGGTGGCAGGTTCTCATCCTAGCTGCAAGAAATCAGTTTTTAACAGAGACAGGGTTTGAGGGGTATCCTTTCTTTTAAATATCAAGTAGCAGGAGCAGAAATAACAGCATTCAGGCATGACTTATTTATTAGAGGGGTTTAGCTTCTTACCTCCCACTGAAAGCAACAGGGGAAGGATGCCTCCTTATCTACAATCTTGGCAGGACTCACCAGGACAGACTTCTGCTGAGCTGCTCTAGGATGGACTGTCTGACTTGAGCCAAACTTTTCTGTATACTGGGATTAGGACTAATGCAAGGAGGCAAAGAAGGCAAATTTTATCTCATCTATGACAGTGCTGCTAGGAGTTTGGACTACATTTAGTCCGTATATGTCATGTGTTGTGATATTTTGATTTTTCTGATCAGCCTCAGAAACAAGGTGAAAAATCAAAGGTCTGTAGTTTTCCTTTGTTTTGGTTACTTTTTGTCTGCTTGTGCTGGGTTTCTTTTTTGCCTTTTTTTTTTTGCCTTTTTTTTTGCATATGTCAGCTGGCAATCCTGGCTTCAGTGTGTGCCTGCTGCAGTGGTCCCAGCTGTGCTGGCAAGCCAAGCCTGGTGGAAATCAGTTGGGAAACAGGCAAGGTGCTGAAGGATGCTCTAGCAGCTCAGGTCAACTAGCGTGCAGCTGGATGTGTAAAGGGGATGTACTGTTCCTCATTATTTCAGCTCCCTCCCTTCACACCCTCTTGCAGTCCTCCTACTCCACCTAAAAAAAAAAATTAATTGGTGGGATGGTCTTAGGTGAGCATCTGTAATGTTTGGTTCATGTTATTTGAGAACCCTACATACCCAGTTTGTGCTTCCTCCTGCCAAAAACCTGCCGGGTTTGCTGCAGCAGGGTTTGTTCCAGCCACGCCTCCTCCTGCCCCTGGCCTACTGCCAGCTGCAAAGTGCTCATAGCACAGAAATGAGGTCCCTGCCCTCTGCACTTTATTTTCTACCCTCCTTTTCCCCTAAAGCTGTCCAATACAACCTACAGTCACTTGGTATTGGGCTCCGCTCATACTGTGTCAGTTCTGCTCGTTGCTTTGGGGTACACCAGAGACACTTTAGTGTTGGCCAGTGCTGGCAGGAGGTGAGGGTAGAGAAAGAAGGAGAGAAAGAAAGTGGAGATGGAAGGCAGCCAACACTAATACTGAAAGGTCATCAGCATCTCTGTCACTTCTCTACCATAAGAACACATGCTCTGCAGAGGCAAAACAGCTTCCTACAGATCCAGCCCATAACACAATCATATATTAAGCACATCAGAATTTAGCATTTTCCTTTCCAAAACCAAAATATATTCCTTTGAGCTTGCACTTGCTAATTAGAGTCCTAAACACATCACACACACACAAAAGCAACAAAAAACCTCCAGAAAATGCATCACATATAGCTTTGTTTCCTCAAGGGGAAGAAAAGTGGGATGGAAAAGAATGGCACATAGCAGAGGCTTGTCACAAAATTTACTGCACTCCTGGAAAGCATTCAGCTCCCACCACATCAGACACTACATGAGAGCCTCAACAAAATACTAAAATAGAGCATTTTTTCCCTGCAAAGACAGAACCAAAGATGTTTGTGCTTTACAAAAGTCCAACAGCACTGCCTTTGCTGAATTAGAAACGTTATTTTTCTACCCACATCACTGCCTTGCTATTGCAGAACACCACCACCATCTAATCCCTGCCCAACCCAAACCAGTAATAATAAAAAGTATCTTTAAAAAAAGATCCAAGTGACTTATTGCAAGCTAGACTCTCAGCCCATGCTGTATGCCGAATGGAGAAGTCCCATCTGTATCTTTAGACAATACCTTTGAAGTGGATTTACTTTTCCTTGGTTGATAAACCACTAGCCTAAACAACCTCCCCAGGCTGCATGGATGACAGGTCCCAGGCTTGCTGTTTGCCAATTATTTTACACACTTGTTGTATATCATATTGAAAATCAAGCAGTCTGCATCCACAGATCAGGCAGGAAAGTGAAGTGTGAGCATCTCAACAAACACCTAATTGTGTTTAGCACATTTGCCTTCTTAAGACTTGGGTAGATGGAATATAGTAACAGTAGCAGAGTTGGGGCAACTGTAGGGCTTCTCTTACTAACATGTCACCCTGTATTACCTCGGCACATTCAGGTAAAGGCGGAAGGGCACAAAGAAGAAGAGGATCTGCTGGGAGCACAGCCAAATAGTTCTGTATTACCAGAAAGTACCAAAAACAACAGCGGCAGAGCAGGAGCCCAGACATACCAGCGCTTGCACACTAAGTAATGAAAACAGCTCTGAGGAGAGCTCAGTCAACAAACAAGTGCTTTATTTTATTTTCCCTCCTTTCCTCCTCCCTTGGCCTACCTCCTCCCCCAGGGTGCAAAGTTCATCTGCAGCTAAGCTACTGCAAGGGCCCAGGGAGAGGGGCAGTCTCCTGCAGGACTGACGTGGGAGCAGGGGTGCTCGTGGATGTTGAAGTAAGAAGGTCAAATGAGCAAATCTAAACTTAGCCCATTCCAGATCCTGGATGTTTCATTTCACAAAAGTTAATGCTTGCCTTTTCAGACTCTGCGTTGGATGATCACCTCAGAGTGGCAATACAGCAATGACCAGCAAAGACAAGGGCAGGCAGGGGAACGCAGGGGTGCACACGTGCTTGGCTTCTTTACGAACCACGTTTCCCAACAGAACAGTGTCTGGCCAGCAGGCACAGCTACTCCAGCCCAGCCGCCCTGGTGC